ACTAGCAGTTTTTAACTAATTTGTGGGAGTTTTCAAACCTAGCACCCACACATTTCTTCATTGCCTATATCTAGCAGGTGTTTTGTTCCATACTTTTCCCATTCATTGATATGGCAGCTTTTGTATGATTTCAACCTGTGTTTTGCTCCATATATGCCTCAATAAACAGTAAAACAGTTTTAGCATTTTATCACCATGTTTCAAATAAAATTGTCACTACTTAGTCTACGATAACAAAGACACTTGGCACATCTACATTTTGGGGGTCATGGAGGGCCTTTTAAATAACCTTCTCTCTCAACTCTGTTTACCTTCCCTAACACAATCTTTGGGCTTTGTGTTGCAGCAACCCTCCTTCCAGCAGACGGCTAGAAATGACTTCTGTCAAGACCTGACAACCTACACCTAAACCAGAAAAAGCTGTGGAATGCAACATAAAGTGCTCAGAGTCCCTGCCAACCCAAGACTTACTCAAACTCAGATTGCTAAATGGTAATGCAGGCACTTTCTGCTCGTAGAACTCGTTTGGTCTTGTCACGCAAACATATAGAAATCAAGACCCTCTCAAAAACTAATTTTTTTACACTGAGATAATGAACTTTACCCAAATGTCAGAACAAACACTTCTGCAAAACAGAACAGTCAATCTTATTTTGAACTTTTTCTAGCTGCTAACAGAAAATTCATCACCCATTAAGAGTAGTCCTTTCCCACTAAACCTATTCTCTAAATATTCCTATAAAAAAAGCATGTCTGTGAGGAATAAACAGTGGCAGAGCTAACCTTCTGTCTACCAGTAAGGCAGAGTCTGCTGTAGTGATAGCATCACAGTAATTCTACGGCTTTCAGGATAATAGTTGTGTTCTACCATCTTGGCTTTGAATTTCTTGCAAACAAGAACATGAGAGTAGAGATGTGTAAGTTAGGAAGTATCTATTTCTAGGCCATGGCCCTTGCACTGCTACAGCAAAAGGGGGGGGGGGAGGAAGAAATAGTATGTGGCATTCCAAATGGATGCATGCAAGATGGGTCCCCACTTACTGTTTGATATATGTTCTGAGAATTATCACTTCCTATAGCTGATTAATTGCCAATGTGATCAATTTGCTTTGCAACTGAGTTTCCCCACTGGTGACCTCTGGTGCTTTGGGTAAAAAAGTAAGACACTTTCTGATTCTTTAAGCATTTTTGAGGCTTCTAGTGCCTTCCTATTCATCTACAATAGTGTAGTGAAATTCCAATGGAATCTGTACAGATTTTCCCTTGATATAACTTGGGGATGCTAGAAGAACTTGAAACATTGACCTCTCTTTTTTCTCTGAGGGACCATTTCCCTTTTGTTACTCAATGATGAAAACCTTCTCAATATCCCTGCAGACTTACTTCAATGGCAATTATCTCCCAGCAAGAGTGATACAGAATACGACCTCTGGAAAAGTTTTGCTTGTGACAGCCACTAACTGATAGAACTCCTGACCTAATGAACAAGTACAAAGGAAAAATATAGCTCTTGCTTTAGATATGGCTGATTTTGGAGTAAGGGAAGTTGCATTTACCTATACAGTGATCACCATTAAAAGATTAATATATCAGGAGATACCATGCTGTAGTACTGAACTACAAGTATTTCCCTAAACTAAATAGAAATAAACATGGAAAATTATATAGATTATATTCAAACCAGAAGCTTCTGCACTTCACTGTTGCCATCTCTTGTGATCTTATCATGAGTCTCGTGATACTGCAGCAAACACAAGATGAGGGAAATGCCTGAAATCTGGAACTGTGGGCTTTATGGCAGCCTTACAGAGCAGCAGATTCACCTTTTCCTCTCTGATTTGAGTACACAGAAACAGCATAGGAAAATCTGGAGGCCTCTCTAGTTACATGAAGGCAGGTGCTTTGAGAAGTGTGTTGGGAAACTTTGGGGTTTTTCTCTGCACGCCATAGCTAGGGTCTCTTGTACCAAGGTCCTGGATGCTCTGGGAGCAGACATTTGGCAGAAGCTTTGGCTTTGATAGTGCTAGACACTCTGGAGAGTCCCTGCTGTGCCAAGGTGGGCAATGATGGCATTGATTCCCAGAACTAAGGACCATTTCCACAAAGGGACTTAAGCACTAAGACACAGATTTTAAAAGATATTTAGGTGTTGTTGCACTCATAACCCCTAACTGGTGTGGAGCCTCAATCTCATTTTCAAAAGGGATTTAGGCACTTAGGATGAGACAATTGGTGGGATTTAGACTCTGTCTCTACATTCCTTTTGAAAATGAGATTGAGGCTCCTAAACCAGTTAGGTGGTGCAACACTGAGTGCAACACCTAAATACCTTTAAAAATCTGGGCCCTAAAGCCCGGATTTAGGTGTTACTGCGATCCACAAAATCCTCATTCAGTTGCCACCTAATCCTGTAGGTGCCTAAATTTCCACTGTACAAGTTGCCTAGGTGCCTAAGATTCTGCCTCTGGGCATGCTCACTGCTGTCCCAGGCTCATGCCTGGATGCTTATCACACCCCTAAGCTCTGCCACTAGGCATGATCCTTAAAGCAGGTGAAGCTGGGTAGGCCACTTTAGTAGGTGCATTCAGAGTTAACCTAACTCCACATAAAACATCCTGGAGGGGAGGGAAAAAGTTTCCCAACTATCAGTGTGCTAAAGGTTACTCAGCTGGGAGGTGGGCAAGCCCAGTTCAATTCCTCTATCTGATAAAGGATTTGAACAGGAGTTGCACAGCTCTCAGGTGTGTGCCCTAACCACTGGACTAACAGACCATGGTCTGTGGTCCAGTACAAATTTAATAATTTATGCACAGCTTCAACAGGAGAGTTTGCAAGAGACCCACATCAGAAACCCTAGTGGTTAGGGCTTATCTTCCACTCTCAGGCCAGTTTTGTGGAATTAGGTATGCGCTGCCGCTGTTCTTGCAAGAAATGGCTGGCTTAGGTACCTAAGATGCCTCCCCTCCAGGAGAGGGTTCCAAGCTGTGGATTGCAAGCACTCCCTCCAGCCCTGAGAGGGGCAGGGTTTAGGACACGCCTCTCTTTTTGGCAAATGGTACTGGCTAGGTGAGGTGGGTACCCACCTAGCTTCCTGGCTTATGTGGATCCTGTTCTCATATGCCTCTCTCACCCCAGGCATTGTATAGGGAGCCTAGGCACCTAACACAGGATTTATGAATTCCACTGGGTGGCTAGGTGCCTGAAAGTCAGGCTTTAGAACTCCAAAGTCCCTTCGTTCTTCAGGCTTTTGTTGACTCAGGCTTTTGCTTTGTAGGTTTATCATTTGAAACCTGATTAATGCCATGCTTACAAGAGTTTCTTAGGATAACTGAAGAAGGGCTTAGAATTGCATCCTATTTCTTAGATGCTAGGTTTTACATTTGCAAACATAACTGGGATTTCTGCACAATGTGGAAGACTTTGAGGCAGATGTTACCATGATGCTTATCCATCTTTGATACTGTTCTGCCACGCTGACATGATTTGGACTTGCTAAAAGGTCTTTCTTCCTCCTTTGATATCATACATGAAGCAAAGGGAGAAAAAAGAAAGCCAGTGTATTGAAACACTAGGCCAACAGACAAGCAAGGACCAAGAGGTGCCAGCCCCCCAAAACAGAAACAATACAGCAGATATGGAAGTGCTAAGTAACTAGCTCTAAATTGTTGAGGCACCTAAAAAAACCTTTGGCACCAGTGTCAGCTGAGAGCAATGGTAGTGCCTGAGCACCAAGAAAAACCAGCAGAAAATGAACCAGCAACACCAAGGCAGAGAGAAAAGCTTTAAAGAATTGACAGGTAGGGAAGCACTTAAATGATGGCAAGTAACAAACACTTGTGGTGCTGGAATGAAAGCACCAAGAACAGGCCCTGAGATATTGAAACAAAACAGGTACCAAAGTGTCATGATACCACTGTATCATTTCTTCTTTTGCACTTCCCCATCTATCAGCATCTAGCTGTTGTCTCTTCTCTTATTCTTACATTGTAAGCTCTTTGGAGCAGGGAGCATCTTTTTGTACCTAGCACAATGGGGTCCAGGTCAATGACCAGGGTTCATAGGTGCAACAGTAATAAAAATAATAACTAGGGGGGTCATACACTTTGTAGCTTCTGTAGGCCAAGCCCACTTCCCACACTAGGAGCTCCTTGCATCCCTTCACTTTGCACTATCACAAGTCCCCTGTGTGTCACCCTCCCATCCTCCTCTATTTCAGGCACTCCATGCAACTTCCCTCACCCCATCCCTCATGCTTGGGACTCTGTGTATCCCTCATTTCCTCCTCTGCCACATGCTGGGAGCTCTATGTCCCCTTCCCCCTCCATGCCAGTAGCTCCAGGTGGCTCCCCTTTCCCCCATGTCAGGGGCTCTGTGTGGGAGTCCCCCGATTCTGCTATCCCCATGTTACCCTGTTTTTCTGTGTGATGGTAATGTGGGTGATGCAAAACCAGTAGAATTCATCTATGTAACTGAAGAATGCTTGCTCATTTAATAAGTCATGACACACAACGGAGGTACAACTATAAATACCCAACAAAAGAATCCACTATTACTTTTGAAAAATAAAGCATATTTAAGACTAATAATTTAAGTTACAGTACAATTTAGTTTAGGATTAAACACAAAAACAACAAGACTTTCAAATACCAATAATAAAAGAACATTTTATTAAAAATGGAAGTTTGTCAAAACTTTATATATCAAAACTAAGGCCACAGCTACTGCTAACAAAGTAAACTTCAAAAGATTTTTATAATATGATTTAATTTAGAAATCTCATACAAAGCTATTTTACAAATGAACACTCAAACATTTCAAAAACTTAACACTGTTTACTCCAAAAATTAATGTTACAAATTACTGAAGTATCAGTACATAAAACGTATGTTTCTTTTGGTCCTTTGAGGAAAATAATTTTTTTGCATGGGTCCAGCTACAGAAATAAACAGAACCATAAGATGGCAATTGCAATGTTAACAGCCAATAATCCTCCCTTTTTTGTTGTTGTTAGTTGTTGAGTTCATTTTCTTGTAACTTTAAACGTCTCCAGTCATAATAGCAATGAACTCCTCCTGATTGACTGTGGTAAGAGAAACAGAAGGTAGTTAGACAAACACAGTAGTGGTCTATGATAATGACAGAAAAATATTTTATGTATATGTTGCACATTTTATTTTAAAGCTTCCCTTTTGTATTCTTAGACACTGATCCAATGCAAATTGAAGTTAATAAACACAGGTCTGGATTTTTTGCTTCCAATTTATAATAAGTTAAGATTCTTCATTAAACAAAATGTATTCACAACACTGTTTTCACAATTTTTAAAAACGTAAGCCAGAAGTTCAGTATTTAGGCATTACTATAGAAGTCACTGAAGCCAGAAGCTCAGTGCACAACAATATTATCTTGCCATAGCAATAGTTCTATTTACCTATTATAAAAAGTAATTAAAAAAGATAAGCTATTAAAGAAACTGTAAAAGTCCAATATGGAATACTGTGCACAGTTCTGATCACTCTTATACAGAAACAACAGAGAAGTTATAAGGAAATGTTAAATGTATTCAACATTTCATCACTGGGAAAAAACCTTTCATTGTGGAGGTGTTAGTGTCTCTTCATGGTTATTATGGCTGAATTTCAGTTTGCCTTTAAAGCAGGGATTCAACTACTTTGTTATGTATAAAAAATACACTATATTCCCCAAAATTATAGTACTTACAATGAATTTACAAGTAAATTTGTTAATTAGTTTGAGTTAAAATTAAACTGGATCCTTAAGAAATTTAGCTTCTGTTGCAGTGTTTCCCTTGCCCCGAATAATTTTAATAATGGAATAATAACTGTGACAGGCTGCCCCCCTTAGGATGCCACCTGATGTGCTAAGATACCGCTGAACCTGCCTGTTATGCCCATCTGGGCACCCTTTTTACCTGTCTTGCTGAGCCAAGCTATTAAGCCTCCTCCAGCACACACACAGGCAGGGCCACACCCAATTGCAGAACGAAACAGACACTGAGATCAGTTCTGGGAAGGCTCAGCTTAAGGGACTTGCCTCCGCACTGATGTGTCCACCTCCCTTGGAGTGCAGACCCAAAGTTATATTATGAAATCTGCCTCCATTTCTTTATCAGCCTATAGCTACCTCAGTTCCAGGGCTCTCTGATGTGCAGCCTTTTGCTCATCAATTTCCATCTGTTTTAATTCTAACTGTATCTCTTATGCATTTTTTGCTTTCTTCTACTTGCAATCTGTAGCGCTCCAACTTTTTGGTAGCTTCACTTTCACTCATTTTGCTGCTTTTCTGCCTCTACTTCCCTTCCCCGAAATAAGCAAACAGAAAATAACAAACCAGTAACCACTTTGTCTGTTCTCTGGTCACCACACTTAAAACTCACTTAAAATCACCACCAGTGTTTCAGGGCAATAAACTGTGCAAACTATCCTGCCTACTATGCCACTATGCCGGGTTGCCCTGCTTAGGACATCACCTGATGTGCTGAGATACCACTGAGCCTGCCTGGGGACCCTTTTTACCTGTCTTGCTGAGCCAAGCTATTAAACCTCCTCCAGCACACACACAGGCAGGGCCACACCCAACTGCAGAACGAAACAGACACTGAGATCAGTTCTGGAAAGGCTCAGCTTAAGGGACTTGCCTCCGCACTGATGTGTCCACCTCCCTTGGAGTTCAGACCCAAAGGTATATTATGAAATCTGCCTCCTCCCTCAATGTGGAGGAAGGTATGCACAGCCTCTCCCTCCCCCCCCCCCATTGTGAATTGTCCAAACGGGGTTATATTATAGACAAGAAATAATTTTATTAACCACAAAAAGTGAATTTTAAGTGAATATAAGAGAGACAGAACAAAGCAGATTACTGAGCACATAAAACAAAATACGCAAGCTAAGCTCAATATACTTAAGAAGCAGGTTACAAAATATAATTTCTTACCCTAAATGTTATTTTAGACAGGCTGCAAAGTTTCTGTGATTTAGAGTTCCAGTTATATTTCTTTTCAGACTGGACTCCTGTCTCAGTCTGGACTCCCACCCCCGGCTCCCGCCCCCACTTTGGGGTCCGGACCCACAGTTTGAGAACCTCTTTGTTACATAAAGGTTCAGACCTAGAGCCGAAGTAATTCTTGAAGAGCCATTTTGACATCAGAGGTAACTCCACCAATCACTATACTTCCTCTAAAGCTAATCTGCACACAAGTTATTGAAGGCTGATATTACATATATTCAAATCTAATAAATATTGCATGGAAGCATTCTCTCTGGGTTGCTTGCTTAGTGTTTATGCAAAACTTGTTCTATTTGGAAGTTTTAAAAACCAAGAAAATTCCAAGACCAAAAAGAAAAAAACAATTGAAGTTAAGAGTTCATGTCATTACCTTAAGAGTGAAAGTTAGAGGGATGTTGTACTTAATATCCCCAACTAAGCATTGCAAACGCCAGAGTTAAATTTACAAGTAAATGAAAGCCAAACATGTTAAGCAGTGGGTATGCATAGTTAAAGCACCCAAAAGATCTTAATTTTAACCCGTCATGACAAGATAAAGGAAAAAAATAACAATATAATCTGGGACCAAAACACTGAAATGTCTGACTCATAATCACATGCTACAGGACACAGTTAAGGTTGAATGGATGACCTAACTGCATTTCCACAGATCAACGTGTTTGGATTTCTTTTAAACCCTGTTATTCCCTCCTACCCTTAACTTACTGATATTTACTCTCAACATTAAATCCATTTTTAATGTAGTTTTGTCTTAGGTCATCATTTACTATTACATTCTAACAGAGATGGTCAAAATTATAACTAGGATTAAGGTTAAAAGAAAGTTTATATGTTGATAAAGTGTTCAAGAACTAAAGGATAATCCCACCAATTAGAAACTAGGAATAAATAGGCAACACAGACCAAAACATTTAATATTAAAGATAACACACATATGGAATACATTACTGGAGTAGATGTATACAATATATAGGGTATAAAAGAGTACAAGATAAAGTTTGTTGGTTTCTAGAAGAGGTGGAGGCTGAAGGACATAGCGAAAAGCAGAAAGACTGATTTAAGAAACCAAAAGAGAGGATGCATGCCAGTCCACTTGGTCTCTATTATAACAGCAGCATATAGTCAGTTACAGTTCAATATTTGGTGTATATCATGTAAAATCAGCTGCTGTGTCATGCACGAAAGCACAAAAGCTTATTTTCCAAGCTATGTAGTAATGTATTAAATGTAAAGCAGTAAAACATGGATACCCATGTTTTTAAAATATGGATATGCTTCAGGTTTACTAGTAGACATATGATAAACAAATATCAATGTGCATCATGTCTCACAGTATTTTGTCCTACTGAAATTACAAACTGACTTTAGGAAACGTATAAGTAACATTTTAAATATTGGGGGGGAGGGGGGGGAGGGAGAGAAGGGAGATGCTGCTACAAATTAAAGTAAGTAAACTGCAGGAAAAAATTACTCAGAAACTGTATTAATGCCTTTTTCACTTCTCTAGGTAAGCATGGGGATGTGGAGAAGAGAGACATATTGTACCAGCATACATGTTATTGCTTTACATAGGGGTGAGCAAATTTTTTGGCCCATATGCAACATCGGGGAATAGAAATTGTATGGTGGGCCATGAATGCTCACAAAATTGGGGTGAGGGTGTGGGAGGGAGTGCGGGCTCTGGGGTGAGGGTGGGGGTGGGGCTGAGGAGTTTGAGTAGGAGGATGCTATGGGCTGGGACCGAGTGGTTCAGAGGGTGGGATGGGGATCAGGGCTGGGGCAGGGGTGCAGGTTCTGGCTGGGGGTACGGGTTCTGGGGTGGGGCTGGGGATGAGAGGTTTGGGTCCAGGAGGGTGCTCCGGGCTGGGATCAAGGGGTTTGGAGAGCGGGAGGGGGATCAGGGCTGGGGCAGGGGGTTGGGGCATGGGGAGAGGCTCAGGGGGTGCAGGCTCCAAGTGCTGCTTACCTCAAGTGGCTCCCGGAAGCAATGGCATGTCCCTTCTCCGGCTCCTATGCAGAGGCGCGGCCAGGTGGCTCTGCACGCTGCCCCATCTGCAGGCACTGCCCCTGCAGCTCCCATTGGAGTGCATAGGAGCCGTAGCGGGGCCGTGCCGCGGCTTCCGGGAGCCACATGGTGCGGCCCCCAACCCAGCGCCCTGGCCAGAGCGGGGTCAAGCCACGTTGTGCAGCTCACGGGCCAGCTTAAAACGGCTCGCAGGCCAGATCCGGCCTGCACCCTGTAGTTTGCCCACCCCTGCATTACACAGTTAGTTTTGAGATCCACTGAGAGTCCACAGTAGCTTTTTACCAAGCCACATGGAATGTAAATTCAGGGATCAGAATTTGACTTTAATCAATCAATTTTGTTCTCAGAAAAAGACATTGGGTGTAGCCCTTCACACTTAGCAAGTTACCAAAGTGGCCTGCAAATTCTGCCCACATTCCTAAAATATAACAGAATAATTTGCATGTACTTCAAATGTCTAGCAGAAACATTAAGAATTAGAAGATGAAAAGTGGTAATGTCAGAGACAGTAGTATTACTCATTTGTTTTCTGTCAGACCATATTGGTTCCAATCAGGATTGGACCCCACTGCACTAAACACTGTATAAACACATAGGGACAGCATCAGTAACTATGTTCACAAAGCTTTATTCACCATCTGTCATAGAAATTTAATTGCATCTTCACTATTGTGAAGGAGAAAGTCTACTTGTGTGCCTTTAATTGTGCCCATCATTTGGAACCAGACTAAAGGGGCTACAGGCAAGTATGCACTACAAAATTAAGTCAACTTAAGTTACAACAACATACAGCCACCACTGTAATTAAATCGCATTTGCGTGTCCACGCTATGCTCCGTGTGTCAGTGATGCACGTCCTCACTACTAGCGCCTGCATCGATGCAGATGTGCACCATAGCTAGCTATCCCACTGTGCAACTTGCTACCACCTAACACAGGGTGTTTTGGGAAGGGTTTGCAATGTCTCATGGGGGTAAATGAGTTGCACCGGGGTGATGGGAAACATGGTTTCAATGTCTCATGATGCC